TCGCTTTGCTCGAGGGAAAAGGTCGGTACGGGGTGACATCGCGTGGACAGGAAGGGCGGAGGCGGATGAGAACGAGGAGCGAAAGAATGAAAGGGATGAGCGCGAAAACGCATCTATATCGATGTCTCGAGATTTGACGATCTTCCAAATAGCGCATCCTCCTTCGGCTATATCGTCGGAGTGCAAAGCTTGCGATGAATTTCTTCATGGGAGAACGGGGTTAATTTTGTTGAGAGCCGGTTTTATACCCTCATTCTATCGTGTAATTATTCTTTGTCACTTAATGATTATATTCAATCATACGTCCATATATATCATTTGTAAGTTTCGCTGCTCGAAAATCGGTCAATCACGACATATTTGAAGAGCCCAGCAAACCTTTGCACTCACCCGATACAGAGTGGCCTTGCCGTTGAATCAGGATTAAGAGAAAAGGCGATACAGCCTCCGCATCCGAAGGGAGATGAGGGGAAGAAGGAGCAAGCGAGAGAGAGAGAGAGAGAGGGGGGGAGGGGAGAGAGGAGCAAGAGGGTTGCAGGGAAGACTGAGGGAGGGAAGGGAGAGAGAGACGCCACGGAAAGACAGAGACGGAAAAGCATTCGCGTACGCCGCCTCTCGTCGCGCTTGCGCTTTCTGTCGGCTGGTTCTCTCGGTCCTCGTCGGTCGTAGCCGCGATCCTCCGTTCCGCCGATATCGCCCACCTCGAGCTCAGTGAGCCGGTGTGTGAGCGCCGCGACGCCTAGAACAGCACTGTCGTCGTTAGACATTGTCGTCGTCGTCGTCGTCGTCGTCGTCATCGTCGTTATCGTCGTCGTCTTCATCGGCGTGGATTTGGCGACGGTCCTACACGTCTCCCTCGTCCTCGTCGTCATCGTCGTCGTCGTTGTGGTCGTTTTCAATCGAGCGCCGTCTGTCTTCGTCGTCATCGCAGTCATCGTCGTCGTCGTCGTCGTCATCGTCAGCATCATCTCGTTGCTCTCGATCGTACACCACGGTGGTGTTGACACATACACGGAGGCACGCGACTTCCTCGAGCGATTCCGTGCGCGAGTCGCAGTCGGCGCGGGAAGAGAGAGACGGACGAGTGCAGTACTACCCCTTCCCCCTCCTTCTACTTCGTCCATCTGTCTCTCCTGCTTCTTCCCTCTTTCTCCCCCACTTCTCTCTCTCTCTCTCTCTCTCTCTCTCTGTGTGTGTGTGTGTGTGTGTGTCTCCGTCTCTTTCACCGTGTATGCACGCTCTCGCTCTCTGCACCCCTTGCCGCTGCTGTTGCCATCGTCGTTCTCTCTCGTTCTCACGATCACGTTCGATCCTCGAATAATTCGACGCAACGTTGTCCTCGCGCTCTGCACCAAGGTTCTCAGCCTCCGTGTACCGTCGCTGTCTACTCCTCGCTGGCTCACGTGCTGCGTTACGTGAACACACGACGTTTTCGATCTTTACGTTCTGCGAGTTCTCTCCCGTTCGCTCCGACTTCTGGACGGCGAGACCGATCGTGCAGCAGCAGGGCCGAGTGGAGAGTGAGAAGGATAGGGAGAGAGAAAGAGAGGGAGGGGGGGGGAGAGAGAGAGAGAGAGAGAGAGAGAGCGAGCGAATGAGAGAGAGAGAGAAAGAGAGAGAGTGTATGTGAGAAAAAGAGAGGACGGGGGGGGGGAGAGAGAGAGAGAGAGAAAGAGAGAAATAGAGGAAACGCGGCGCGCGGAAGAGGACGAAGGATGTGTAGACACCGTGGCGTCGTGCCTGTCGTGTCCGCAGGACCTCCGAGGAGGACGTTCGTGTAAGAAAATGTACTCGCGTGACGGTTCTTAAACCTCGCCTCGGGCGTGCATTCTCTCGTGCATGGCGAAGGGACGAGGGGGAGGAGAAAGAGAGAGAGAGCGGGAGAGGTGCCAGGACGCCTGCCACGGGCAGGAAGAGCGTTAGAGGAAGCGTGGGAAAGAGGGAGAGAAAGTGGGAGACGAACTGTGAAAGAGAGAGAGAGAGAGAGAGAGAGAGAGAGAGGGGGAGAGAGTAGGAGAGAGAGAGAGAGAGAGAGAGAGAGAGAGAGAGAGAGAGGGGGAGAGAGTAGGAGAGAGAGAGAGAGAGAGAGAAAGAGAGCGAGTGGGGCTGATAGAGGGTGGCTGGGAGGGGAACTTACGGACAGGGAGAGAAGATAGCGATGCTCGAACGTGATGCTATGCACGAGCGCGAGGGTTGTTCCGAACGACGACGGTAAATCGAATGATCATTTGATTCCTTTTTGGATTGCGTGATACGTAAACCTGTATATATACGCGCAGCCCACGTCCTGCGTGTCGCTGCGAGCGTGCCTTGCCTCGCGGTCGTCGTTCACGAGGGCGATCGCGGCGCGTCGGCGGATGACAGGACTTGTGAGGGTACGTCATCATGCCTGATACGCGCTGTCCCGGCTCGGCTCGGCTCGGCTCGGCTCGGCTCGGCTCGCTCGCAGGAGATTTTGTCGATGTTGTGCATAATCGTTCTTATGTAATCGTTCGCAAGCTTGCACGCAATTACTTGTTGGTGTACCTGCTCTATTTGAGATGATCGATGTATATGTATATGCACGTTGGTGGTGTTGTCGTCCGACGCGATCTGTACTTGATCTTGCCGATAATTCTTCCGTCGTGCACGCGCCGCTGATTGATCGCCGTGAGTTGCAAGAGGGGTCCGAGTGCCAAATAATTAAGGAGACGCGGAAAGTTACGGCGCGACGGAGTTGCCGCGCCGCCGCACCGCAACGCTGCTAAACGTCGTTCTCTTGCGATGTGAAATTTTTACTCGATCCGTCGTTGAGATCCCTTTTGGGTCGTACCGACTTCGGCCCCTTTTCACTTTTTCTCGGCACTTGGACCTTTTCCAATTTACGATACTCTCATTTAGCGTCGCGCTCGCCGCGGCTAAGTGTTGCCTCTCGACTCTAATGAGTTTTATGTATATAATGCGAAGATCGCGTATTCGATGTGACATCGTGGAATGAGAATCGTACATATCTCACGCTAAACATGCGATGTGAATGCGAAGCGATGATGTAACTGATGTCCTCGATGTATCCTTGCAACACGAATGCATGTGTCTGTATGGATGGCTTTTACACTGAGAGGAACCGAAGGTCTTTTTGTGTCAAAATTGAGAAATAGCCTCCCGAAAACTTGTTTCTACAGAAAATAATGTCGCGGTATTTTCTACAGCCAGAATAATTCACGATTTGATTTTTCAGCTTCAGCTTGCTGATAAATTGATGAAATAAATCCATCTACTAATGTTTGCTACACACACACACACACACACACACACACACACAAACACATAAAAGCCATCCCTCTAATCTTGAAATCGAGTACACGACTAGAAGTATATGTCACAAACTTGTAAACTAAATGTCTTCTACTTATCTGTGTGTGTTCGCGAATGACAAATAATAAAGATTCTCACTATCTTGTACCCTTGATCTTATCGATGCATCGAGACGAATTGTAAAAATTCGCCTCGGTCACGACCTGTTGAACACGTAGAACTCGCGAAAAAAATTTCCCTGCTCCAGAGAAATATGCCATGAAATGCACAATGATGCTTCAATATATATTCGTCTCATTCGCGCCTCACGCCTCTCGTTTAAGCAGAAGAAGGACTGTCCCTGTTAAATGTCGCTTGCTACGTGTCGCGTGTATGTGAAGCACTACACACGTTGTTGTGATAAATCATAAGGAGCTATGCGCAAAGCCGACAGTCTAAATAACGCGACGTGTCAACAAGTGTTCGTTCGCTCGAACGAAAGGACACACGAGAAAAGGATAACGTAGTTCCCAAAGAGATTCGGCAAATATCCCCGGGCTCTCGTGGATATTTGCGAAACGATAGCCTCTTATGATTTTCAATCTCACAAATCGCGCCTGAGGCGTGATTTTAAAAGTGACCCGAGTGCCGGAGTGCCTGTGGCACAACAGACGGATCGTATACCAATTTGACGAGAATCGTGAGATCTGTCGTTTGCAAACGAAAGCGCGATAGTTGTGCGTACGCGCGATACGCGAAAGAAAAAGGAAAAGAGGTACGTGATTGACAACAACAGTACGTGAGTGAGAGATCCCTGAGAGCGCCGTTAAGGCGGTTAAACCAGGCATTATTTACAAAACCGGCACTTCGATCCGCACTTTAAAGTACACGTCTCCGGTGTAACCGGCTGTGTAATTCACTCGGCGAGCAAACGGCGCGCGTGCTCGCGAATGATTCATCGGCGCGTTTTACGCGACATCGGCTGAGAAGAGACGACTATTTTCATATTGCGCTTTGGGTCACATGCCCGCCGTTAAGCGCGGCGAGTCTTTAACGGAGCCCTCGTGAAAACAGGATACTGCCGGTATCAGCATCGCGTTATCGCGTAATATGAATTTGCATATGACAATGCCTTTCTATTAACGGCATGGTCGGCGGTGGCGGTGGTCCGCGGTAGTGGCGTTATATTATCAAGTCGTACCGTTGTAATATATAGCCGTATATACACATGACTCTCTCTCTCTCTCTCTGCCTGTCTGTCTCTCCGTCTCTCCGTCTCTCCATCTCTCTCTCTCTCTCTCTCTCTCTCTCTCTCTCTCTCTCTCTCTCTCTCTCTCTCTCTCTCTCTCTCTCTCTCTCTCTCTCTCTCTCTCTCTCTCTCTCTCTTTCTCTCCTCGCTCGGTTGGACCATAAAGCGAGTAATATAGCTCGCATACAAAATGAAATATTTCAATTGCGGGACTCGCGTTAATTGCGCGCGCGAGCGCGAACGCGCGGGCGCGTCGTTTCAATTACGCTAATGAATTACGGGCGAGCGAATCCGACGTGGGCGCATGTGCGGCCGAGAGAGGAGCGGATTCCCAGTCGAGAAGGAGAATGATCTCGCGTCGCGGTCGGCCCGATCGATCCGAGATACGATGCTCGGAGTAACATTCGCGGGGGAGGAGCGGGGGGGGGGCGGGGGCGAGGAAGGAGAATAATGAATATGTAAATATTCTGATAAATATTCCGGGTGTGCGGTGTATGTTGTTGCTTGTAAATAGCGGAGTGCGTGTAACAGGTGGTGCGTTCTTTGTCTGGCGTGAGATCGGTGATGTCGCGTTGCTCTTGCACGATGATGCACAACGAGCAGGACGGCGACGACGACGACGACGACGACGACGACGACGACGACGACGACAGGCCGCGCGATGACGTGGCCACGTGGTGTAAGCGGGCCCACGGCTTACGCAACGTCGACGCACGCGACGAATGAGCGTCCCGCGCTTTTATAGCCGCCTCACGAGCACGAGTCGTGCGCTCGTTGCATCTGTCTCTATTTCTAACCGTTTGCCCGTCCAATCCGTTCCGCCTAAGAGGAGAGTCTCTCAGACTGAGAAATGTCCGCGCAAATCCGTCGCACATATTCACGCGTCTCGAGAGAAAAACATTAAGCGTCGGTGCAAAGTCGTGGCTCGTTTTCACCATGGGATCGCAATCTTGCGATAAAACTCGAAGCCGGTCATTCGAGATATCCGCAGGGCGATTTCGAAAAATATTAACCTTTCGCCCTTGACTTCGCGACAAACAGTTGTAAACAACGATCCGAATCAATCAACAGTCGCCTCGGCCTCGATGCGTGAAAATATCCGCTCGTGTAAACTGAAAATATCAAATTCGCCGCGTTTCTACCGTGATTTCTTCAAGGCTGCAAGTTCGGAGATTGTACAGGTACAATGGAATATTTTCCAGATGGACTCCTCCAGAGTCGAAGCTTTTGTCCGCTTAGTGCATCATTGTGTGTGTGCGTCTGTTCGTTCATTCGTTCGTTCATTCGTTCGTTCGTTCGTTCGTTCGTTCGTTCGTTCGCTCGCTCGTTCGTTCGTTCGCTCGCTCGCTCGCTCGCTCATTCGTTCGCCGCGCGGCGCGGCCGGTGTGTGCGATACGCATTCACACACATGCGCATCTTCTGCATGCGTGCGTGCCACACGCACAAGACGACGCACGTGACAGTGGCCGCGCGGCAGTAAAAACTTCACGGCACATTCTCGCGATCGCTCTCCGCCGCGCGATAAAATTTACGCGCGTCGTAAATAATTACAATAAAAGCGAGTATCGCCCCTCTTGGCGACGTTACGACCGCCGCTCCGCGACTGCCGGTCGAATGAAATCGTTCGGGGCCCGAATTGGAATCATCGCGTTGACGTCGTTTCGTCCGAGGGGATCCCGGCGCGCGCGCTTTCAGGGCCCCGAGAGTCCCCGAGAGTCGCGCGAGGCTCCGAGTTTACGGCCCTACGGGACGCGGGATCGGATTCCGTGAGCAATTTCTGGGACTCGTAAAATGTCTCCCTCGGGAGGCTCTTTCTCGATATATGTAAATCGGGGCCCGCGAGTCAGAGGCGTAACCGCGGGAACGCCGCCATCCGGAAGCGCAAGATTCACCGAGGTGCAAACGCGCGAGCGAGCGAGAGAGAGAGACAGAGAGAGAGAGAGAGAACGAGACAGAGAGAGAGAAGGAGGTCGGGGAGAACTTTCACGGTTCGAAGGAGGAATAGCGCCGACCTTCCAGTGTCCTGACCGAAACGATCGCCAGCGCTTGATAACGTGGCCGATCAATATCTTTATGCCGCCGCGGCATGCACACTGTGTAAAACGCGCTTGATCTTTCCTCGCAGGGCTCGGCTGGTATCCCGCAGGCTGTCGGCTGCCACGTAATCACACCTCGCTGAGCTCGCCGTCCCGACTACGCTCCGCCGTGCTTCGCCGCTACTAACTCGCAACACGCAAGATGAACGAACGATCCGCGGGGGAAAGCGCGTAGTGCGTCCACGACGAGTCGCATTGCGATGACGATGAGAGGAGACGAGATGAGATGAGAACACGAGCGTGAACTGTGTGACCCCGGAAGAAGAGAAGATCCCCTCGAATCGATTCTCGGGGAGCGTCGCGCGCGCGGTGTTGATGCTGTCGATTATGAGATACGAGCGTGTCCTTTCGTCCATCAGCCACTCGACAGCGGAACGGAAGTTGACGACGGACTCGTGATCATCGTGAGCATCGCGAGCCGAAGCTTCATAGCCGTCGTCGTCGTCGTCGTCGTCGTCGTCGTCATCGTCGTCGTCATCATCGCAACACGGAGCCGCGCGTGCAAGCGAAACGCATCTTTCGCAGGAGACCTCGCACTCTGCCGACCGGTGAGTACCGCTTCAATGTTACGATCGAGTGTACTCTGTCAGCGGCTCGTCCGCTTGTAATCGAAACGATGTTGTACGAGAACTCGTGTTCTTTTCTCGTCCTCGACTCTTCTCGAGCGAACGAGTCCTCATCCTCCTCTCGCGCAGGAACAGACTCGGAGGATCAAGCCGCCTCCCCTTCCCTGCTCAACCACCATCCTGCCCAACGTTCATTCTCACGCGCGTCCGCGGGAGTTTCAACGTTACCGAGAACTCGCTGTGAATATGACTCGAGCGAGCGTTATCGTGTACCACGAGCGCGACCGCGACGCCCTTCTAAATGACGATTTCAACGCGGTTGATACAAGTTCGAGTCGAGCGGATAATAACGGGCTTACGAACTCGCCACCTGTCACCTGTCACCTGTGGCAGGTTTTGATACACGCGGCGACGTAATGTCGCCTTCAGGTTTCGCGCTCAGAAGCGCGAAACGCTTGCCGTCTGATTTGCTCCTCGCGCCCGCGCCGCGCCGCGCGAAGAGGTCGATCGATCGCGCGATCGATCGATCGCCGATGCGTCGGAACGAATCGCCGCGTTTCGCGATTTGTTACGGAGCGGCAGACATGAAATGCCGACGTGTAATGCGCGTTAAAGCGCACGGCCCTGTATTGCGCATATCTTGACGACGGCACAACGAATGAATGAAATCGGCACGGCGCGATGCGCAGGCCGCCCGTGCAGGTGGAAGTCCGCATAAGGCCGCGCCGGTGTGCGCGCGCGCGCGCGCTCTGTTACTCCTCAATGGGCGAGCGCGGTTAATTGCGAGGCAATATTCAAAGTGATTCCCCGGGTCTCCGGCAAGAATACGGCCTAATTGACTCGTAAGCCGACGCATTCGACCGGCGGCTGATTGCAAACGGAATCAGCATTTCCGTCTGTGAGAGGCCCGATATTGCCGGCGCTCACGAGAGACGGCCGATTCCCGGTATTTCAGGCATCGGAGCGGGACATCGTTAAGCTCGCCCGGTATTTTCGCGCGGAATAATTATTAGCGGAAACGCGCATTCGTTAGTATTAATTTCGCCGGTGCCCCAGTGCCGCGAGCGTTAGGAGAGTTCGTTGCGAGCGTCGTCATTTGCATCTTCGCAGGAGCGTCTTCGCTGAAGCCGGGGAGGTGCGGCGCGCTGTTTTATCGTTAGCGTTAAATTTCCCCTCGCACACAGGTGAGCGTCATCTCCTCCCGGGGAGGTAATTTGTGGCGGAAGTATTGTTTTCGGAGGAAAAGAGAGAGAGAGAGAGGGAGAGAGGAGACTCTATTAAGACGTGAAAAATACATGGAGAATAAAGCCGAACGCAGCAGCGCGCGCGAATAAAAAAATTCACGAGTGTAAAAAATCGCGTTTCCCGCTAAGTGGTCGCGTTTCTTAAAAATCCACCTCGGATAATTGTTCCACGCGAGGCGGCGTATACCTGCCGGCGGCCATTTCGCTATTCGCCGGTATTCAATTCCAGCGGGAGGATTGCGAGAAAGCATAATTAACGCCGTCGGATTGTAAATTCATTCTAGTATAAATATTTGCATCTCGGGGAACTCCGCGCACAAAGCCTGCATACATTTGAATATATTTTCTTTCCGCGGAAATTCCGCGGGGCGCGCCGCGCGCATATCGGCGATACGACTAACATCGCGCTCGGGCTTATTTCAATTTCCGTAACTCGCGACGTTGATCTTCTTGGATCCACAAAATTAAAGCGAATCGCCGACGAGCGGCGTCGCCGGCTAAGTGGAATGCTTGAGAATTGTCGGGAGATATCACCGCGTAGTTCCAGTAGGATGGCGTAAGAGAAAGAAAAAAAAAGAGAAAAAAGTTCCGCGAGAGAGCCTCCCCCTTCAAACAAGACACATGGAGAACTAGTTTCAACGACTCAGAAAGGACGAAACAAAATCCTCTCTCCTCGTCTATTAAAATTTCGCGTTGCATCACCGCAGCACCGTTATCTTGTTTCTAACAAACCGCTCCGTATAATGCATCAAAATTTGCATGCCGCTAGTTTGCGGATTGTTTAATTTTATTGTTTAATTTAACGCTCGACTTTCGCCATTTTCGAAATAAATGGTTCATCTAATTTCCGTAATTTCTGTAATTGCCGTAATTTTCCAATGGACCGCGCCGTCATTCGATTATCGGCCAGGCGAATTTGCACGCGAATCGACTTCAACCCCTTTGCGGCGTCGTATAATTTCGAGGGACGGTTCAACATTGAAATACCTTCTTTTATCCCGACGACACCAGCATCGCCTAATGTAATAACCGACTTCCATTCATTTCTAACGTTACGTAAATACTCGCGGAATAATCGGCAAGTGGTGATTATTCATAATCTCGGCTGTTTGGACTATCATAAATCACCGGGTCGACGAAATTCACCCTCGTGCATCTCGCACAGAGTTCTCACTCTTGTCTACATTCGCGGCTTTTGCGTTTCTTCGCCTCTCAAAACTATCTGCCGACAACATCGACGTTAATTTGAATCCAAACACGAGAGACAATACGGACATTCGTGCGGAATATCTCGCCTCATCATGAGCCTTTGTGTTCATCGCACGATATCTCGCGGTCCGATATCGGCGAATCGAAATTTCGGCGGTCGCGACGCAAGAACTAGCCTTATTCTGCTTATTCGCGGCAATGGGAAGAAATCGGCACTCGCGTATCAGCGCAACATCGTTGATCGAACTCGGCGAAATCACCCCCGGGCCCTTCGACACGGCCGTAGCTTCGGACTCTGCGCGCGAACAGGATGACTCGCGAAGGTACAGAAAGGTAGGGCCGTAAATCGAGGTTAGGTCCCGAGGAGAGACGCGAGCTCGGGATGAAAGCGGCAGAGTCAACGAACTTCCGTCGCGTTTACGTAACCCCTGCCGTGTAAACATATCGATCTCCGCGGGCATATGCGCATTGTAGCTTTATTTCTCTCGCGGATGCGCCCCGTACATGCGGGCGATGAGACCAAGGGTGGGTCAAGTTGACCTTCTCCCTGCGACCTTTTGTCGGACCGGTTGCGCGTATCCGCGAACAATCGCATTCCATTCCGCGCGTTTCGCGTTTTCTGAGAATGACGATGACGCACCGCGCGAAAAGGAGCTGCGTGTTTTCGAGCGCGTAATATCACGCGCGAATCACCGCGCGTCGCCATGTTCGTGTACCTCATTTACTCGCGGTCGCAGTGCTGCGCGTCTCAAGCCCGTCCGTCCATCGTCGTCACAATTTGGACCCGGAGTATTCTTCGAGCGACTATTGGGTAAAGTAACGCGCAGCAACACTTTTCGCACGGCGAGTGATCGAAAGATCGTGCCCAACGAATAGTTGAATCGGCTGAAGCTGCATAGTCACTCACTTAATCTCCGACTTCGACCGATCGATCGACCGACTTTTAACCCGCTTGCATTAGCTCTCTTAAATAAGAGAAATCCATTCGCCGTATTAATTTAAGAGTCATGTGGGTGGTCAGACATCGGGTTAACCTTCACGCAACACTCGGGTATTTTACGTAACAGCGAGTATTAAGGGAGGAGGGTGAGAGAGAGAGAGAGAGAGAGAGAGAGAGAGAGAGAGAGAGAGAGAGAGTATATTGTGTCCATTACGTAAAACTACATTTTCTCGTACAACAATTTTGCCGTCGATTTTACCGACGGAAACATTGTCACACCGCCGACCAGAGATGCTACAGCAAACTATCGCGTGATTTCTCCCCTCATTCGAGGCAAAAGGAAATTAGAATTTTTCGATATCGCTAATAAACGGATTCGAAGAGTACCGGCTGTGTGTCTCCCCCTTCGATACTAATACGATTAATCCTTCCGCTGTTACGAACCCATATACGCATTCAGCAAATCCAATCAACGTGCGCTATGAACTCAAATACGCGTTCGGTGAATATGATACGGACTCGCGCATGCGCTCGGCGAGTATCCTTGTGCTTACACCGCGTCGAAGCATACGAGAGACTTATCCCCCACAAAACTTGAATATCTATAGGAAAAAAAGGGAAGAGAAGGGGAGGAAAAAAAGGAGGGACAAAATGTTCCGAAGATGACGTGTCGCAAAGCTCCGTCGAGTCATACGCGTGCCGCCTGGCACCGACAGGGTTAACGATCTCCAGCAGACTGGAAGAAAGCGAGGAGTTACTCACCGAGTTCAAAATCCGCGCCGCGCAGCCCTGGGTGTAGTACGCGCCGCGACGACGCATCCTCAGAGTGGCGAACTTCACACGGCGTCGAGCTGTCGCGTAACCGCTGCGTAACCGACGGCTGATTCTCAGCCGTCGATGGCATCTCGCGGCGTCGCGAAACGGGCGCGCGGAATCATCCTCGCTCGCGTTCGCGACAGATCGCTCTTTAATCGCGTCACACACCGCACGACGTCACACATGTGGGGGCTCGTGATTACCGCGTCATTCGTCGCACGGCGGACTACGAACATCGATCCGTCTCGTAACGGCTAACCCCTCCCCCTTACTACCGATGTGTCCCGTTCATTTTGTCAAACGACACGTGTCCTGCGTGAAGTCACGTGCGCAACGTAATAGGTATGTCGACATTCCTGTTGTTTGAATCCGCGTGAAGAGACGCGCGAACGTGGCGATACGCGCTATCGCGCACTCTGCACTCGTCGCCGATCGTCGTTTCGCGATCGCTCGATTGCGGCGGTGTCTCGCGTGGCAGTCTCTCATGCGTGCATGTGTGTGCATGTGTATGTATATGTGTGTGTGTGTGTGTGTATGTGTGCGCACTGGTGCAGAGAGAATGGCTGGCTACGATTAATTGTCAACTTCGTTAAGGATTAATCTAGCGTTTTCGGCGCGATCGGTAGTCATTAACTCGGGATAATTAGTCAGCCGCTGTTAGTTGTCAACAAGACAGCGGATGTAACAATGCTGGGCGACA